AGCTATATATGCTGCAAATCTCAACCATTGGAGCTCTTTATAGCCCAACATGCGATTAGCCGCGAAACAACATCCAAGTGCTTTATAAAAAAAAAAAAAAAAAGACTGAGATTTTATTGAAATAATCTCGCTCTACCATATACTTCCAGAAACTCCTCAACTCCTAAAAAGTATTCATTTCCTCACAGTAAAGGATCGTTGACGCACTTGCGTTTACCACTACCGACTGCGACACAACAGGTTCACAAGTCTGTGAACGGGCCTTAACAAACCATTTGTAACCCTCTTATAACGGCTTACGATATCCCGTTCACACACCTGCAACTGACAACGGCCAGCTCTGACACGATCGGTGTTTAGGCTGCTTGCGACTCCTCACGACGGGCTGAGCAGCAGCGCGAACAGCGCTCGTAAGACACTTAAACGGGTCGGTCGCTGTCGGTCTCAAGCGTGTGAACGGGCCTCTATATCTCTCCGTCCTTAATAAGCAGTCGCAAGTGCAGTGTGAACCAGCCTTAACAAGTGCAGTCGCAAGTGCACTGTGAAGCAGCCTTATCGATTGATCAAACCCCTCGAGCACTTCAGACGGCCAATGAAACAGGCGTCTCTGCTTCTGCCTTCCTCGACAGGCTGCTTGCGCACGACGCATGCATTCCTGAAGACGTCGTTCGCTGGATCCAAATGGCGCGTACGGTTCTCAATGAGGAAGTTGTTGGGCTCGAGTAGGTTCAACGTATTCGTGCGGCCTTCATTGTCAATACGCCCCAGTGGCGACCGGACCGATACGCGTCCACGACAACAATATGTCGTCTCCCTCCTGGTCCAGTGTCTCAAGCCCCACGCGCAGACACCTTGCGCAAGATTTTTTTTTTTTTTTGTGTGTGTGTTGCGCGCTATTGGAGTTGTGTCATGTTTTCGACACTTCCCGCTTTGTTGGCTGATTGGTAGTATATGTGTAACTGGATCACTTCCTGTCTTCTGAGGTGAACTCTCCAGGCAGGTGCTCCGGCGTTTCACGGCTTACGGCGGTGCATGAGACCGTCATCCTTGTGGAACTTGCTGACTTATAAACATCATGCTTAAAAAAAAAAGCTGTTATAAATGTTATTTGTGCGACTTTGCTGCGAAGATGTGTTTAGACATTACAGCAAATAAGTTGAAGATCATTTTAAAAAAGTAATAAGGATAGAGGTAGCCGTTTTCAGAAAGCTCTTTTTGTGCGTATCACTCCAAAAAATAAATATGTGCCATGAGGCTAGTTATTTTCTTGGAGGGCAGTTCTACGTTACAAAACGAAACCATTTTATGGTTAAAACAAGAAAATAGGAAGTAAAACTATTATTAAGTTCCACTTTTTAGCGACCTTAGCGATCTTCGTCAGTATAACTCATTTCCTAACATGAGGTTGCCAACGAAATGTATTTGACATGTCTGAGCAGTATACGTCTGTTAAACATTCGTCTAGTGAAACGAGAGCATAATAACTCCAAAGCCGCAGTTATACTACCCATACATCATATAAAAAGAGACACGGTGTTCCCTGCATACATTAGGGAGTTTTGGGGAACAGATTTTGGCACCATGTTCCCTAAAACTCCCTATTAGAGAGTTTTAGGGAACCGTTCTTGCACATTTCATTAGCCACGATGGGGCTCCGGTACGCACTGCGCATGCGCGACCACAGAAGACTCACATGCGCAAATCGCACCGGACTGCTCATCGTACCGTATTGAATGTGCAAACACGTTTCCCTATAACTCTTTATTATCGACGTGACCCCGGCTTAAGGCATATATAGGCCCGTCTACAGACGCATTGACTGCCGCATGATAGGCTTTCTAATGCTCGTCACTATAGTAGCATGATGTTGACGATAAATTCGGGACCAGGAAGCTTGACTGTAAAATCTCCGGGTCTACAGCTTTCCAAACAAACGGCAAGGTGGACTGATAGCAGGCTGATAAATAGACTTCGTCGGCGCATACGTCCTTGCCCTCTTCGCCTCTCGGAACTGTGCGAAGAGTAAGGACACGACGGTTCCGGACAGCAAATATTGCACTCGGTGGATAAAGCTACGTTTACGTTGTTGCATATTGAACAAATAATAAAGAAGGTATAACTTTTCCCAAATGAGTCCAGGCAAAAATATACACAAACAGGGTCGAAGATGGTAAGAAGAACTTGACGAGGGGCTTCCTGGAAGCGTCAGTCAACGAGTTGAACGCAAGATCTCCCCAGAACTGCCAACACGGAAAGTCAGAATTTTCCTAGCGAACGCCTGAAATTTCTCTATTTCTGCCAACATTTTTTCTCGCTTGCCCTAATAATTACATAATACTAAATATTCTTTTTATTTTTTCGCATCACTTCCATTTTTACTATGAGACTCATTATGTAGCTTTTATGCCTCGCGTACGTTTCGCAAAAATGAGTTCATCGGCCCAAAATCGCGGCCAAAGCAAATCTGGAGAGGGGAAGTGTTACCGGGAGATTCAAAGTGACGAATAAAACCCTGTCTTCGCCTTAGATGTTATGCAAGCCACCAGAACACGGTACAGCCTAATAACTTCAATAGCGCGTTTTACAATAGTCAGTCGAAAACAAAAGATGTAACTCAAGTGAGAGTTCTCGAGCTCGAACACAGAGAACACGACTCACAGTAACTAGCATTTCGTGCCCCCCCCCCCCCCCCCCCCAAGGCACTTCATAAGATATTACTAATCATAGCAAGCCTAGAGTCTCCAGACATCGCAGTATTACTTGTTGTACTCAGGCTTTCTTTTTCGAGAAGGCAGCGGCGCTCTCAGAAGCTTTCACTGGCCTGATCCCTTCCTTCATAGCTTTCACGGGGGCGATGAAAACAAGTGAGATTTGATTTTGCCGAAAAAAGTGGTTCGAGTGCTCCTCTGTGTTTGCAGATGGTCCCACAAGAAACCGTCAAACTGCTAGAGGGAATAGCCTAAATGTGGCCAAAGCCGCTGAAATTTGATATTATCTCGAAATAAAATAATTATTGACCTATACAATTCCAGATATATGCGTTGCCCAAGCTTTTCCTCAAACTAGCAAGATTTCCTTTATTACCACATAGACCTGAATGTTGCCTTAATCTGTGAAATTTCCCTCGGGTTGGCCCCAGCCCTGGCTCTCCCTCTCGCTTTAAAGTCTACCAGCGAGAAGAGCAATGCGTATAGCGTTCGTGACATCAAGAGTTCCTGCACGGTCAAGGTTACTGTATAGTTGCGAGCGTCGCCTCTTGGTGGCGTCAACGCGTGACAATCTCGCCTAGTCGTAATATCCGAGGACTTTAAGCCCTATGGCCTATACATAGCTTACCCGTAACCGTCCATGCCTGTAGTTTTAAGTGCCAAGAGTGTTCGGTTCACCGTGCTAGTTTCACACAGCGAAAGTAGTAGCTCAAAGGAACCGACAAGTAGAAATAACCGACAGTACGCAGCAATGGCGAACGCTGCAAGCTATATATACACCTTTGCAAGTGGGATCCCGGCTTAACCTCGAACCGCGCGCCAAGGTGAGGCGGACCTACTCTCCAGCCAGGACGTTCACTGGTTCGCGTACAATGTTGCCAAGCGTCTCTCGCTGAAGTGCACACCACTGAGCGCAGAAAGAAATTTAAAAAATAACTATAAAACGTACACGTGTCGTCTTCGACCGCGAAAGAGCACGGATAATTAAATAAAATGCATAAACCGGTAACAAATCGAAAAATTTCAAAAAGATCTCAAGTCTTAAGGCGCTCTTCAGAATCCGCCACAAGTCGCATGGCCTTTGCATCAACGATGGCTGCGCTCGAGGCAGCTCTGGCTTCCACAACATGCAGGAACAGAGGCTGCGATCGTTATAGAGTCAGCTCCAACCCTTAAAGATGCCCCGTCCTACAATATGTGATGCTACGATTCTGTGTGGACACCTCCTCCTGCGTTCCGAGACAGTAAGTGTGCCGCTAACGTTAGCCATCGCCGATGCAGCAAACGGCACCATCTTGTCATCGCGCACCCCACTGACGTGCCCCTGGCGCACCCCAGCATGGCGGAAACGGTACGGGGCGCCAGCATCGCTCAAAATGGCAGCGCACAGGAGCCCTTCTTGCAAACGTGTATATAAGGTATTCGCTGGCTGCCATAATTGAGCGAGATATTCACAACGGTTGGTTTGGGGTCCCCGTATCCTCAGATCAAGCTCGTATACCTACCTATCACCTGCGATGAATGGCGATCTTGATGGTGTGGAATGCAGGCTGCGGAAGTACTGTGGAAGCTTTAACATGCACAACGTAGTAAACTCGTTTGTGTTCTCCGCCCAGAAGCACTAGTCTAGACTACTGTCCCTGGCCTGCAGGCACAACATAGACCACCATCTAAAAAAAAAAAAAAAAAGATACAAGAATTTCGTTACCGTACCTTTTTAAGGCCGGTTCAATATACACTGCAGCGATAAATGAGCACTAGGAACAGCGCTGACGAGAACATATATCTTTATACTAATGCAGTGCTCTGTCAGCGCTGTGTCACTTCGCATATAGCGCTAAATCAGCACTCAGCAAGATCGCTTCTTACAGCGCTGACTAGAGCTGAAGCAGCGCTGTAGTGTGTGTGCGAATAGGTATTTAGAGCAACGAGGTTCTGTCACGCACAGTGTAGAGCGCAAGCGCAGAGGTTTTAAATCCCTCCACACAAACAAAAAATAATAGAACATTAACAATTTTTAGGAATCCCTGATTGCAATCTCTCATTTGCTGTTGACACAATCGGATGGATAAATAAATGGAAGAGATCTTTGTAAGAACATCGTTATGTGCTGCAGGGAGTGCGAAGATTGAAGGAGAGCTCACTTGATAATCAAGGCTAAGAACGTATAAACGGTCGCTTCAGAGACTCAGAATAACCTCCGGTGATGAGGTGCAGAATTGAATGACGTCCAGTGTTGAATGACAACGGGAAGGAGAAGCAACCTCATAATTAACATTCTCGTCATTACAGGTACGGCGTGCTTGCTCCCCTTTCTGACGGTCCACATGCGCCAGCTGGGCCTAAGCGTCGAAGAAACCGCCATCATCTACAGCATCATCCCGTTCGCCCAGCTCTTCGGACCTCACGCAGCCAGTTTCCTGGGGAACAAGTACGGCAGCTACAAAGGCGCCCTCCTCGGCTGTCTTATGCTGACCGCACTGTCCGGTAGCAGCCTGCTCCTGGTGCCCCAAGCCGTCGGACCGCCAGTGCCAGCACCAGCCATCCACCTTCACTGCGGTCCTTCTCTGGAACTAGAGGTCGTGGTGGACCACTGCGGGGACGAGCATGGAGCCTGCCCGGAGCCTTCGTCCGGACAAGCGTTACCGGTGCAACTGTCCGACTGCAGCCTCGAGTGTCCGTACGGCGACTGGCCCCACGGCATCGAAGACGCCGGTATCTGTTTCACAGACGACTACGACAACAAGGAATGCCACGTCATGGACGAAAACGACCCTCTTGCTAGAAGCACGTCACTCGGCCTCTACCTGCAGCCGGCCAGAGACCCCGATGCTCTTTGCAACCATCCTGTGACGGCCATCACGTGGGAAAGTCATATATTCCACAACGTGTCCTGCTTGAAGCATCTTCCGGACCACGACCATACGAACTGTTCTCTCAAGTGCACCGTTGAAGACCTGCCTGATGTGAATGCAACGTCGGCGGCGGCTTTCTGGCACGCTGAATGCACCCCACCAGAAGGCAGCGACCGAAGGATTACGATCAGCATCTACTTTGTGCTCAGGATCATCTTTCAGGTTCTTGTGTCCATCTGCTTTACGCTTCTGGATGCCACCACGGTGTCCATGGTGCACGTGCACGACGGGCGTTTCGCGTGGCAGCGTTTTTGGGCCATTGTAGGATCAGTGTTTTGCTCGCCCATCTCCGGTTTCTTCATCGACCTCAACAGCGAGCACGTCATTTCTGGCTTTGACTACTCTCCCGCCTTCTACATGTTCAACGTGTTCACGGTGCTCACGGCCATCTTCACCTACGTGCTTGAGATTCAGGTGGCCACTCCCGGCAAGAACGGACTGTACCGCGTTCGGGAACTTCTGCATGTTCCGCGGATCCTCAGTCTCTTCCTGGTAGTCCTCGGTCTTGGGAGCGTCTACGGGTTCCTGGAGTACTTCCTCTTCTGGTACCTCTTGGACCTCGGCGCTCCGAACTACATGCTAGGCCTCACAATCTCTATCGGCGGACTCGCCGGATTCGTCTTCCTCTACGAGTCAAAGTGGTTCCTCGACAAACTGGGAGCCGTCAACGTCATCGTGCTCTCGGGGCTTGTCTATTGCGGCAGGCTGGTGGGCTACTCGTACATCGGCAAGCATCCGCTGTGGTGTATCCCTCTGGAGGGACTAGAAGCCATGACGTTCCATCTCCTATGGGTCGCCATTGGAACGTACGCGGCACAGTATGCACCCAGGGGATTGAAACCCACCGTTCAAGCCTGCGTAGGAGGCATCTACTTCGGAATAGGTGGGTAACGATTCTTTTTACCCGCGACTTGAACTATGACATGTGTTTTAATGTACACACAATTTCAACACCAAAAAGCTCTGTGGGAAGAACTGTTTCTGTTTCTGGAGCTTTGCTGCCTGGAACGCGTCTCCGACTGGCGTGTTTAGCGTCCTGTTCCACCCATGCACCGAAAAGTGTCCCGAAGTGGCAACAAATGACGCCACAAAACCCGGAGCATCTTGTTGTCGGATGTCGCGATGCTGGCGGTTGGTCGTAGAAATGCTGGCGAAAAGGACGAGCGAACGTGAGTGTCGCTGTCGTCGTGGCGTCCCAACCCCTGACTGCCGAAGCTTCCGTGGACTGTCAAGCTGGAGAGCGACCTGCAGCAGAGCAGGCATCTGCCACGTCCACCACCACTGCTGTGACGCCGCCAAAATCGCTGCGGGCGACAGCATGACACTTCTATGACGTCATCAGGACGGAAATCGAGGTACCACTTTTTTGGACGCGGTAATTCGCACCAGTCGGAGATCCGTTCCAGGCACCATACTGGAGCTGCCTTGGAAGCTTACATCCATTGCTTGGCACGAAAGCCTGCTTTATTCATTCGTCTCCTCAGTATGACAGTTCTTGGAAACGTGCCTCGCTCTGACTTTCTGATTGCCTCATGGGGGCGCAGCTTTTTCCTTTAGCTAACTTATTCTGAAACTGTGTAGTCAAAGCTGAAAGTACACTTGACGTTTCATATTAAAAAGAAAAAAAAAGTTTCAGATATTAAATTATTTGTGGCGTTTCCATGCCGTATACGGCATGGAAACGAAACGAAAGCCGTAAAATGTGTCACTGCAGCTACCGAATTACTATAGTAATTCGGTAGCTGCAGTGACACATTTTACGGATTTCGTTAACTTTGACTGTTGTTATTGGACAAAACTATTGCGGTTATTTTTACTTTTTTTTTTGTCTGCTCTCGTCTGTTCAAATTACGTGAAGTTTATTTTGATTCTGTCAGTGCATACGTTATCCATGGAATATCTGTGGCATTCAGCCGAAAAATAGTGATTTTTTTGGTAATGAATCTTAGAATACAAGGAAGATTTTACACAATAACGAGAAGCGTATAAAACGAAAAATGAAAAGTTGTGGTGTACGTGCGGTTACACGTACACCACAACAGTCAGTCGACAGCTTTCTTATTGTCACAAACGACCACGGGAAAGGAACAGTAAAGTCTGAGATCGAGAGCAAGCGCCGAGACGACGTGGCAGGATGGATACGTTATCTCGGAGTTGTTGATGCCAAAGGTTGAAGCCTTATCTTGGTGGGTCATCGCTTAAACTTATCCACAGAAAGTTATCAAGATGCGCGTTCGTTGCTCCCTGTTCTCCGTGGCGACTGCCGTGTCAAACCAGACGAAAATTCAGACACTGCGTGTTGTTCCCAAACATGTCAGGTACGCCTTGTCAGTAACCTTCTGAAGATAACTCGCATTGTCAAAAAATAAATAAAAGAAGGTGTTTTGTTTTACCGTCGAATTACATGAGTTGTTGACTCGCCTATGCGGAGCGCAAGTTCGTCTGCTTCTTGCATATGGGTTCTGGTGACGTCAAAAAGCTGAGCTCTGATTGGCTCTGATTGGAAGGATAGTGGGTAGACCTCAATGTTAGCTGCCTTGAGGTCTACGCACTATCCTTCCAAATGGAGCCAATCGGAGCTCGGCGTTCTGACGTCTCCGGAACCCCTGCGCAAGAAGCCGACGAACTTGCCCTCCGCATAGTCGCTGAGAACTTAAGAAACGCAGGGCGTAACTTTCGATGAATTCACGCTTATCGCTTCGTAATTGGTTTTGTGGTATACTTATCGACCCAATGCCAGATTCTCATTGGCTGCGAAGCGACAATAAGATTCTCGGGACTTACCACGCCCGGCATTTCTTAAACTGTGACTATATTGACAATTCGCCTTGTTGCTCAACTTGTAGCTATACCAATTAGAGTAACTTAACTAAAACTATTCGTCGTTAGTTTTTTTTTATATGCTTTTTTTATATAGCGCGTACTCATCAGGAGCGGTAGGATGAAGCATGTCGCATGAAGCATGGGCTTGAAAAGATATTGCACCGAAGTAATCAGTCGGGAGAATCCGAAGAGCGCTGATGCCACGAGCCCAGATAAGATGGTAGCGGAGGCTGACTGAGATAATCGTGTTTGAGGAGATGGCCCAGAAAGTCTCGTCCTTATACTAAAGGGACAAACAACAAACACAGCCGGCGCGGGCACGTCAAGCACACGCCGCTCGTCTGGTTCCCCGATCTGACAAACTTCGAGTGTTGGCGACCACAAACATTTCTCCCGCAGCCGTCACACCGCTCGTGCTTCGTACAAAAGACACGGTGATCAGAAGGTTACATTTGAACAGCTCGTGCTGACGGCGAACTTCCACAACCGTGCCTGTAACACGTCTTCGACTGGTGTATTTATCGTCTCATCTCACCCATGCGTCGAAAGTGGTCCTAAAATGGCGACAAATGACGTCGTAGAAGCCGGGGCATGTCACGCTGTCGGATGTCGCGATCCTGGCGGTTGGTCGTGAAAGGCTGTCAAGAAGGGTGAGCCGACGCAAGGGTCGCTGTCGTTACGGCGTTTCGTCTCGTACCTGCTTCAGTTTCCGTTCACTATCTGTAACTGCGCGGCGACCTACAACAGGACAGGCGTCCACCACATGCACCTCTGCTGCTCTGCCGCCGCCAGGATCGCGGTAAGCGGCAGCACGACGCAAGTGTGACGTCATCAGGCGGAAATCAAGTGTCCACTTTTGAGGACCTAGTAAATAACCCAGTTCGAAAACGTGCTGCAGGCACCATAATACAGTGTTCTAGGGAGGACACCGTCACCATACTCACCATCGAGATTGTCGTTTTTGGCAGACGATAAGCGGAAGTTCATTCTGAGCATGCGCCTTGAACAAAGCGCTCAAATATGGCGTCCTGTGAATACAACCACTTCCGTCTAAGGCAACACTAAAAACGGGATATAACGCTTTCTTCGGCGTATATAAAGCCCGATATCTGGCTTAAACGACGTCGTCTGTCAGGCGGCATCGGTCCAGTTGAAGCTCTGGGGCGGACGTGACCGATAACCGTTGGCCCTCTGGACCCTGGCGTCTGGACGAGTCAGAGCACAGAAGGCGATGGAGGGTTATTTTTGCCTCGCGCGCGCGGCGCGGTCACCAAAGCCTCACTGTTGTTTGCTCACCGCGGCTATCGCCAGGCAGGGATCGAGAAACTCTCTCTCCCCCACCCCCCCCTTCCAATCTGCCCCATTTGTTTTTTACGGACAGATGAATGGAAGGATGAATTGATACGGCCGAACCCTTTGAATTGGGTGGCGGTTAGCGCCACCTGATCAGTGTTCAATTTTGATCGTTAGGAGAAACACCCCTGGGAGGGTATGGTGCACGATACATTTAACAAAAAAAAGTTTCTAGAAGAGTCAGTGTTGAAGCGATGAGGCACAATAAATTTGCATGTTTCGTTCTAGTTGCGTTATTGAAGTTTGCATGTGTAACATATTTCTGAATATCAATAAAGTAATCACAATGTAGAAATAAAATAAAAAATAATTTGAGTCAACATCATCCTGGTACTTCTGGGCAGAAGGTTCGCATCGGACTTCAATTAGGAGACGGAGTCTGTAGCTCGATGGCGATTAAAAATAAATCGGACAGTTTGACTTTGCATGCGTTCTATTTTGTGAATGTTTTGCTGTGTGAGGGGTTCCCAAACTGGGGCTCGCCTATTCGATCGTTGGTAATAGCAGTGACTAATTATATGCTGTTAATTTGAGCTCTGGACCGGCAAATTCTAACTTCCGCCTTAACGCCTGTTCACACATGCAGCGGAGCGCTACAAGCATAGCGCTAACCTCGCGCTAAGCGCGTGTTGACGGCAGCGTTCACCAGCTTTGTATCGCACCGTCAAAACTGTTGCTCATGGCAGACGATACGTAGCTGACGACGCGTGAGGAGCGCTACATCAGCGCTTCGCTGCATGTGAGAACCGGCCTTAAGTGTGCAAAAGTTCCTTGGCGCTTTATTGGAGACATTATTCTATGTGTGAATTCGAGTTCAGATGTTGTTTCAAAATAACACCCGAGTTAATTGTACTCCTGTACACATTTTAAAGGCATCGCCCCACTATAGACGCTTTCAGGAATATGTGCATAATCGCCGCTATAACCGACCTTCAGTTTTTGCCTTCCTCTTTTTCCGTTCGCTTCACTTCATGATTGCCACAGTAGGACAGGTTATTGCCACTTTAGGTGCTACTGTGTCCTTCTCCTCAGCATAGGCCTTTGTGGAAACTCGACAACGCCCGCTTCAGCGGCTCGGCACATCGGTAAGACAGGAGAAGGTCGGCAATGGCGGCTCAACCTGGCGCGTGTTTTAAAGCGTCTATAGGTGAACTGTGCTGATATTTCTTTTCCGCTTTGTGTTATGTATACAGTTTAATTTTTGTTTATTTCTATTTGCAATTCGACACATCAGCTTGTCAATTTTTGTAGATGATAATAGACCGATCTCACCAAGCGTTCGGCGGATGCGTGGCGCCGCCATAAATTTAGTTCACAGGAGGTAAACGGCAATGCACGAGAGGGCTCGTGATGTCTGGTGCTCCACACGCGCAGAGCTCCAGCGGGGTTGTCGCACGTGCAGAAAGACTAAAGTTCCCTCGATGCATTGTGGCAGCGGTGGCGTAGGCAAACTGGCTGGTGAGATCGGTCTATTCAATGCCTTCTCATCATGGGATGTTTGTGATTCTTAATATATAATTGCATCATAGGAAAAAAAGTTTAAATTTAACACCAGCTTGAAATCCGCGGCTCATGTCGCTGACATATAGGATGAATAGTAGAGTCCCAAGAACAGACCCCCTGAGGCCGTTCACACACTTGCAACGGAGCAGGACCGGGAGAGACAAGACACAGCGTAGGAGCTGCTCCGCAGCAGTGCATCCGGTCCTCCGCCGTCGCAAGAGGCTTAAAAATCGGCCTTGTCTCTCTCGGTCCTACTCGTTTGCAAATGTGTGAACGGCGCTTAAGTTGTCTGACATTGTACCACTCAACTGCTCGAAATGTTCTCTACCAACCAGGTAAAGCTTAAAGTCAGGTCAGAATTTTAATACCGTTAAGAATATGTTTGATTAAATGAAGTATAGCTTTGGATGAGAAACGCAATCAGATGCCTTTGCAAAATCCGAGAATATCACATCTATCTTTTGGCCCTTGTCGAGGCATGAACTTACGTGGTGCATTTTTTATATTATTTTAGTGATTATTGAGCGACCTCGACTAAAGCCATACAGATAATTCAATAGGTTATTTTCGTCAACAAAAGTTATGTTTTTAGCGATAACGTGTTCAATGATTTTACAACTTGTACCTGTCGGTGAGTTTGGACGATAGTTTTTATATTTGTTCTTTCTCTGGATTTTGGTGTTGGACCTATCTTTCCTGACTTCAGTCATGTAGAAGACTAAAGAGGAAACCACTGCGCATTGTTTTAAAGAATGTTTAACATTTAAATAAAAGATGTCCTTTTGATCAATACGACTATCAACAGTACCTGCAATCGGTGATGTGTGCATTTTATAGTGTGGAATGATCCCATTATAACACGTCAAAACAGACTGGAAGTAACTATCAAACAATGTGCCGACTTTGCCTAAATCGCTAACGATTTCATCATCAACAACAAGGCTAGAAACACCCACACGCCGTTTACAAACAAGCTCGCGTGTGAGCAGAAATGTGCACACGCGAGCTTCTACGCATGTGCGCATGTATAATTTGAAAAGTGTGTAGCCCAAGTACGAATGATTTTGGCCAGAACCCCATGAGTTTATTATGTTTTAATGTATTGACTTGTGGAGCTTACAGACGTTTTGCAGCATAGGTTGAAATGCATTACTTCACACTCAAACAATTCTAGAAAGTCTGCGTTTTTTTTTCTTCTCTCCATTATAGTGAAATGTTCGTCGGCAAGCCGTTTTTATGTTCAAGGCTGAGTGAAGGTGGAGATCGAACGGAGCTATAGATCTGGTGGATGTTCGGTGATTTCAAATCAATATAAGTGAAAATTTGCCACAACGCAGCGGGCACTAGTATCATTGCATTTCGGAGGTGACAAAGGGAGCCTTCATGGTAGGGACTTTCAGCAAACCGTTACCATGTTCTGCGTACCGCACTACCGGAGCCTCTGAAGCATACTTTTAAGCGCGCGCCCCGCTGTCACGGTATCACCCGGGGGCGCGCTTAAAAGCATTCTTCAAAGGCTCCGGTACAGTGCGGTACGCGGAACATGGTAACGGTTTGAAAAAAGTCCCTATTGTCAGCATGGTTCTTCAGAATCGGTACCGGGGTACATAGAGATGATGTTGCCAAGCTGTGGCGTGCATGCGTGAACACTACGCAGGAATATAGGCGATCCCGTATTCTGAAGCGAAACGAGAATTCTGGTAGCCATGACAGTTCTTAAACTGTCCATCTTCGTTTCCTCTTGGCTCTTGGAGTGCGACTCAACCATGGAGGTCTTGGCCGGCACGTATATATAAGCGTATGTCGGAGCTGCGTATCTGCCGTGTTCACCCTTGGAGCCGCAGAAACTAGGCATCTAAAAATATCGCCGCTTCGGCCTGATATCCGGATGACACGAGATTGGCTTGACAACAGCGAGTTTGGCCTAGAGCCTTTTTTGTATGTGTGTTTGGATTGGGGGATGTTCACTTTTGACAACAAAGATGTCTGCTTTGGTCACTTGCGTCTGTTTATCGCGTCAGACGCGCGCACGTGCAATCACATCAAAGGCTTCTATCTGCGTGTCCACACTGTTCTGCCCCCCCCCCCCCCCCGCCCCCCCCCTTCCCTTTTTGATATACCTCAAGGCGGCCTTTTGCGCGGCGAGTAGTCCTACGTGTAGGCTTTCGGCGGACATTTTGTTGTGGATAGTGAAAGACGTGATAACGGGTCAAGTAATAATTGTGTTGCGTGTTTCTTTGAATAGCAAGAGTTAGCCAACCCCAACAGGCGTCTGGTGTCTTTACTGAAGATGAGAAACTTTGCCGGTGCAATACCGCAGGCTGGTACAACGCTCATCTAGAACGGGCATGTGTGGGGATTAAACGCGTCAACAATTTTCTGCAATATCACCAGAACCTCATTCTGGCAATTAACCTGCATGTTCGGGCCCTGGGTGAATTTGATTAATATCTCTTGAAGTTAGGGTTCTTAGTCCAAATCACACGAGATGATTTCGACAAAGGGGCATCTGCATGGCGCTTTGGCTTCGAGTTAATTTGCTCTATCGATGTTCATTTTCTGTAAAGGAATACGTACCTGCACGCCCTCAAAACACGTTGCCAGCATTCACGCAGAAGGACGCAAGGACTATAAAATAAACGCCATTAAATCTGCAAGACCATTTATTCGTTACGCTATTACATCAGGGCATAAATTGTGCTACGATTTAGTAACAACGCCATTATAAATAGAAGCTTCTTTTTGCTTTTAAATATAATGTCTGAGAGGTCTTAGAGCAGCTCTTTAATTTTCCTCAAAATAATTGTATTTGTCTGTGGTTACTTGACACTGAAATACACTTGAACGAATCCAGAGTAGTTCGACAACGTTCTACATGCCAACACGGGAAGTTAAACTGTGCCTCATCATGGCCGACATGTTCCAACGCTGTATACCCTTGCCACGTACAAGGTTCTGCTACGCTATTGATTAATTTCTTCATTATTTTAAGAACGATGACCAAGTTACTCTTTCGTTACTTTTCAGGTCGGAGCACGGGCAGCTTGGTCGGCGGCACCGCCATGTACTTCCTGGGAGCCGAGACGGCCTTCCGGATCATGGGAGGCGTGGCCGCCATAGCATCCCTTTCCTACGGGGTCATCTTCTTCTGCTTCATCCAGGGGGTCTGTCGAAAACCCGAAGAAGAGCCTGCCGCCGAACTCGTTCTCAAAAGCATAGGTGAGTTTTTCAAAATGTTCTTAATGAATATGACTCTATTACGATCCCATGTCTCTGCCAGATTTCCATGTTAGGATACAATTGTCTTTATTAAACGACTGTGCTGTGATCCAGATATATTTACTGAATGACAATCGGTGTTAAGATCAATATGTTTTGGTTAAATGTCATGATTCACATGTTTTTATTAGATGACTATGTTACGATCCAAATGTCCTTCTGAGATGATGATGTTAAGATACAAATATTTTTAGATATAACTATGTAACGATCCCAACGTCTTTACAAGATGACGATGTTAAGATCCAAATGTCTTTATTAGATAACCATATGTTATGATAGAAATGTAGTTATTATATGACTATGTTATGATCCGGAGAAATGTAGGGAGGAGAGGATTAAACAAAAGTGAGTTTCTCACGGCCGTAATGTGGCGCCTGAAGTCAGTGTATAGGGTGTCAGAAATCCCGAGGCTGGATCTATAATCGTCCGGAAAAATCGAAACCTGCTTATAGCAATCTAAAATTTTCGTCGAAGATGCGTTCTAGTGGTGGATTTTATCTTGTGAAATTTCAAGGCATGACTCTCTCTCTCTCTCTCTGTGAACAATGAGGCCATCAGACTTGCCAGTGTCAACAACGGGCGTCGACGAGGGCGACCGAGTTATGTATAACTCGGTCGCCCTTCACCCCTGAGCTGAGACTGCGGTGGGAGCTACGTGCCCGCCGGACCAACCAGTTGCCTCCCTTTGATTACCTGGCCGGGAGCGTTAGCACAAGGCATTAATAGAGAGGTATGCTTGGTCCAACGAGGACGTAGCTTCAACCGCAGTCTCAGCTTAGGGGTGAACGGAGTATTGGCGGCGTGTGCGAACTGCATACAGGGGGCAAATCTCTAGCTATCATCATCATCGTTCGTGACGTCACGGGTAGGACAGACTGGGACAGACCGCGCAAATGCTGGATCCCTCGGCTCGTCAGCTCGCTTCATGCGCTGTTTGGGTAACGCGCGGCAAGGCCTGTTTCACGCGTCGTGTTTAGTTGGTGAAGTGATATTTGTAGTAGGACATTTTATCAACGTTTGAAACGGCACGTGGCACGCGTAGTCATGCCAATAAACCCTTTTGGAGCTGAGGTGTCGAAGCGCTTGGATGATGGTGTGCTGTTCTCTGCCCCAGTACAAAAAAAAAAAAAAACTGGATGATGAAAATAGAATTTCCAGCGCTTTATCCCACTACAACATCTACCACAGCGAATAGGGTGCGTTTTTTTTATTATGAATCGAACAAAATAAAACTTAGAAAGGAATGCCTCATCACATTGAGTATAGGAAAGCGAAATTTGAGAGCCTCTCGCGTGTGTAGTACACACTTCAGTGAAAGTGACTCCGTGTATCCTGCTGGTTTCAATTTGTTCTGTGAGTGCTGATCTCTTATTAGTTCCGAGTTTATTCCTTCTTGAAATTTTTGAACCAGTAAACGAACATTTCCTTACAATAATTGGCAGGAACAAACTGTGACTGGTTTCCAGAGTCTTTTCAACTAAATCCCTGTTTATTCACCCGGTCGACGCGAAACGCGCGAGACACCCTCGCGATCGAAGTCTTAAATCTAGTAAGTCGGTAACACTTCAGCGTTAAAAAAATGAGGAATACACCTGCTACGAATTACTACCGTTTGTCTGTTTAATTTTTGCGGATCCAAACGCACATAATACGTTATGTGTTTCTCAGCCAACGATTTTAAATTAGTAAACAAATATTAGTAAAAATGGTATAGATACATCAATCGCCTGAATTTGCCGGCCAATGACCAACAATTTAAGAATTTATGAAAATTTCTGCTTTTCTTTCGAGCAGAACTCGCGATGTGACAAACTTCTTTGCCATGTATTCGATTCGGGAGGAATTAAGCTTCAGCTGCTGACAAGTATTTGCTCGGCAGCATCCTATATATTGACTCTTCCAGCTGGTTATCACGTGATGTACTATCAGCCGCCCCGCGCTCATCCGCGCTAGGTGGAACACACAACAGGAGAGGGGTTGTGGGTAAAGAAACAAAAACGACGGAATATTTTGATAGCTCGGGACGGTTTCATTTTACGCTGTGTTATCTTCGATGTCTGAAATGGATGCATATTTTTTTCCCAGCCAAGCCGGCGTCTACACCGGCACCTGCACCGGTAGCGACGTCTAACGGCAACCCACATCGGGAGATGGTTGTCAGTGTCGATGTCCTCAACTCAAGGGACAGTGACCACGAAGAGGATGAAGAGGATCAGGCGAATACGAGGACAGAGCCCGAAGGTTCTTAGCCGGACGGAGTGTGTTCTGATTCTTCTCGCAGCCCGTAACAAGAACCGTGCTGCGACAGCACATCATCTATGAAAGGACATACTCACCAAATGTCCCTTGAGTAGGGACCGGGGACAAGTGCCACGAGTTCACGTCTTCTGGCACCAGGATCACCGCGGTACCACAGTGAGGTATTCTCCCCCTCTTCGAGAAAAAAAAACAACAGCAAGGAAACCTCCCCGTCTCACCAGGTGCCGAGATGGGCGTTGTGGTGTCTGATGCGTGGACCTTCTATAGTCGGCCTTCAATGGTCGTGATGTCGAAACTGCTGGTCAAACGTTGAGTGGTTTAGTGTGCGTAGCTCTCCGGTCAGGGCCAGCTAGATATGAAAACGTTCTGTGCCTCACCCCGAAGCGTATACTATTCACCGCAAGTGCCAGTGTGGTTCTCCGGGACTTGCGGTCTGGAGCCTACTAGTTATATACGTTCCAGAAGCTAGAGACGTTTAGCACAAAATGCGGCATTGGACCATGATAAGGTGCTGCGTTCCGTGGTCTGGAAGTACCCAAAACGTACTGATTACGTGCGTTTCAGGGGTCAGATGTATTTAGTGCTACGCTCTACAATGGACAATGGACCATGACAAGATGTCGCGTCCTGTGGTCTGAGGATGTCATCTGGAACCTACTGACGACATACATACCATAGGCTAATATGCATTTAGCACTATGCTCTGCATGGGAACGTGACAAGATGCTGGGTTCTGTTTTGTTTCACGAGTGCAGCGTGCACCTTACTGTGTGCAATAAGAACCGTTACATATTTTTTAAATGATAGGCCACGTGCTTGCGTCGTAAACATTGCCCTGGACAGACTGGATTAAATGCTGGTGCGACAAAGTGACTGCGGGACTACGAGTGGAAGTTATTCACCAATCGCCGCCAGTGTTTCTATTATGTAACGGTGACGGGGCTGTTCATCACCAATCAGGAAGCGTTTTCGAGGTTCAGGCCAAGTGAAAAGGTTGGGGCCTCTGGGTCTCGGAGCACATTGGTGACGCCCGTGTACAATTTTGTAGATCATGACAAACACGCATGTTCATCGTTGTGGATTCATAATTTGCTGAAAAGAACATTATTTTAAAAAAGTACTCATTCACACTCTGAATTTTTTTGCCAAATTATTAATATTATTATTTTCTGTGTACAAGGATCCGTGTTTATATTGCTAAAATATACCCTTCTGTGAAACACCAGGGGGGGGGGGGGGGTATAAACCGATAAACACATGCTGTTTCTGGAGTTTATGTTTTTTAGATGCATGCCTTAATTGCACGTTTGTATACCTCATTCAATTGGTTCAAGTGGAAGATAGGGTTTCGTAACATTTTGTATAGAGCATATCCATCGCCTCTTCGGAACATTGGTCATGACGTGAGCAGATCGTGCCAGTAGGTCAGCTGACAATCAGGACTGCATACAACCTCTCAACATGAAGCGACAGGCAATATTTGCTTTAGTCGAAGGATATCTCGTTAATCACCCCAGCGTAGGAGCTATACAGTTAATGGTGTTCGACTGATGTGTCCACCGTCCAATCCTGCCCATGCCCCAAAAGTTGTACCGAAGTGCCAACAAATAACGTCACACGAACCGGCGTGTCTTGCTGTGGGATGTCGCGATCCTGGCGGCTGGTTGTAGACATATATGCTGACGAAAAAGGTGAGTGGACGCAAGGGTCGCTGTTGTCGCGGCGTCTCATCGATCGTGTCCGCTTTGGTTCTCATCGACCGTCTAGCTACAGAACAACCTTCAGGAGGACAGGCCTACGCCACATCCACCTCCGCCGCACCGTGACACCGCCAGGATCGCGGCAGCCAAAAGCGTGACGTTTATATGACGTCATCAGGCGGAAATCGAGGAACCAGGACGCGGCAAACTCGCGTCTCCAGCTTGTTGCTCGCCCTCCCGCGGCGGACACGGGAAACGCTCTAGCCAGGGTCACCCAGTTCTCCTGCTCAGCGGGCACGGCGAAACTGCTCGAGATCATGGCTCGCGAAATGTCACTTCCGAACGCAAACAACACTCTTGACTGCCCCAATGCAGTGCTGCAGCCGGTATGGGATTGCACCTTATTAGAGAGTTTTAGTACTTTCTACAGAAGCAAGCGCAAGCGCTGTGCGTTTGCGTTAAAGTTGCGTGCTCCGCGCTGCGCATGCGCATCGTCGCCATGCGTCAATTCAAGACATCAATTTTGGACTTCGCGCACGCGCAGTGTGGAACATGCAATGCTAACGCAAACACACCGTGCTTGCGTTCGCTCGTATACGCAATACCAAAACGCGCTACTCTTGTACCGGTTTCTAATGCCAACGAAACGTACTGCAGTGGGCAGACTGGCAAGCGGGTAGGCGTTCTTTCGAACTCAAAAGGCTGAGATTGGCGAAACGAAGGCGCGTAAAATTTAAAGAAAAAAAAAATATGGGGCATTTGGTCCAGAAGGATTGGCGCCGACATTGGAAGTCGCAATTTTGATAGCACCATATGCTTAACCCACAATTAATGTAATTTTACATAGATCTCTCGGCCTAGATAGAATGTTTTCATTGATTTTAGATCATTTTTCATAACTTGTTAATTAAAAATGCGGCGATTGGCCACCAGTGATGATAATTTGACAACTTTTGATTGCCATACTTGTTCGCGCGTTTGAAATTAGATTATAAGCAGCAAATTATATTAGAGCTTGAAAAATTACGTAATAATATATTTTAATTGTATTATTATTAATACAAATTGCGGTAATGTAGGCCCCCTATAAACGCCAAGATCACAAAATACGATATATAACCATAATAGTCTTTCCAGAAATGTGTCATTTCGTTTTCTTCTTGGCCTATGAAAAGCTCTGACATAGTTATCAAGACAGACAAACAGTCAACAGTCTATGTAATTAATATAAAGTCTATGCGTGACGCGCTGCTTTAACAAAACACACATTCTTCTGTTGTATGATTCGGATTCCGTCTTTGGGCTTCTGTAGTGAGAACAGCGTTTCTTAATTTATACGTTTTGTGAACATATTCTAAACTCATCGCCCGTGGCGATATATTGTAAAATTTTGAATTGATTCTGTTATTCTTGTGCTGGGAATAAAATAATAATGAATAATAATAATGGGAACAATTAATATCTAAATACCCCAAAACCCATTAAAAGGCCCGCAGTGGATTATTTCACATGGCAATCATCTAAGCTAGAAAAGACAGCAAAAACACACACATATCGGCACTGATTTTTCAACAAATAGAATATTCTTACCTCTAAGGCGTACGAAAGACCCTAAGGACACTGAAGTCTCCAAAACATTTTGAAGTGTCTAGATCGGACACGTATGTCATAAAATAACAATTCCGCGAACAACTTCTTTAGCTCAATGATTATGGTGAGACACATCTTGAGTTATGAAAGAATCCGAAATTCACACATTTACCTAGAAATTAAATCCAAAATAGAGGTTAGCTTCGGTTTCGTTCTCGAATGAAAACGTGCCTCTTAGCGTAAATATTACGCTAAACACCGTTTTTGTTTTTAGGATAGAGAGCTGACATGCGCTCATAACACCCTAGCTTCCTCGTATAAGCAGGAATTATTTGTGTCGCTCAGTGAAGCCGGCACACTAGACAGGCTCAGCAACAGGTATACCCACCTTTAGTGAATTGGAGCCGAACGACGGATGGATGGATGGATGAGAGTGGACCCTTTGAATCGAGCGGCGGCTTGCGCCACCTAGCCAGTGTCTTTTCCCCTAACATTTTATCCCTCCAACGATGATGATGATGATGATGGTGCGGCTGTTCCCTTTAGATCGGGCGGGCTCGAACAATATTCATGCGTGTTGTTGCCCCCTAAGGTAGATATTTTTCCACCAGTCCTCTAATTGTCTCTTTGTTGCCTGGACAGACGGCCTGTGGGGGTCGCTTGAGGCCGTAGTCTCGTTCGAGGCAGGCCTGGCGCTGGTGCGGATGGCCTAACCTCAATGGTTTGGTGTCCATCTCTAGTAACAGTGAAGCCCAATGCTTCGGCAAGCTCCAGAGGGCTTTGAAGGTCTCGGTCGTTGTCTCGTGACCGGGATGACCGGAGTCCTGCTCATTCCCGTACAATTCTGTTTCGTCGTCGGCCCCGCGCACGCGGCACACGCTCGTGGTCAAGGTAGAATCGAAGTGTCGTCTGTAAGACAGAGTCCTTAGTGCCCCGGCTAGTGCCTCAAATAGCAAACGACTACCAAGGCTATTATCGTATAGCCTAGCCTCCGAACCGATGGTCCTCTCGTTTGCAACATACACATCGAGCGTAGTCTTCGATGGGGCATCTTTGAGCCGTTGCTGTGTTTTCTGATCGCGAAACTTTTTCCGGAGCTCTCTTTCCCATTCCGTGGCCGACGACGCTTGGACAGGGACGGCAAAATAACCGTACTTGCTTTCGAGCTGGTATAGGCGTTTCTGCCAGCCGGTCTGCAGCCCAGTCAGTTGAGTGTACCCGAACAGGCTTTTAGCCCACCGGCAGGTGTCCATATGTCGGAGACGTCCGTCGTAGGCGAATTTGCTGGTAGCTTCGTTAGCTTCAAAAGAGGACCATCCCAAATCACCCTGGACAGCCTCATTTGCTAGTGTACCATAACAGCCTAGCGCTTGGCGCCCGACCTCCCTCTGCCTACGTTCTATGTGAGCTCGGATATCTCCAGGGACGCACGCCACAGCGTTAGCAAAAGTCAGTCCTGGTACCACCACCGCCTTCCACAGCACCCAGGTCACAACGAATCTATTGCAACTCCAGAGATTCCGTCTGCGGAGAATGCCGGTTCCTCTGATGGCTGCTTGGCGGAGATGGGCATGGTGCTCTTGCAAGTAGTCCTCTGTATTTGTCAGTGTAATTCCCAAGTACCTGTACGAGTTCACTACAGGTACACAGTCCACCCCGAGTCGAAGACTGCCAAATGTTGGATCTTGTGGACCTGCAAACAGCACCGCTGCTGACTTGTTGGCGTTGAATTTCAATCCAAGTCCTGTTGCTACCTCGGTGCAGATATCTAGGAGTTTCTGCATGTCGCAGACTGATGCCGCGGTCAGTACTACATCGTCTGCGTAGGTAAGACCGGGTAAAACCCATTCGACAGTCAGACCATCTTCTAAGTGAGCCAACGAGTAGCCCAGTCCAGATCGGATCAGTTGCGTTTCGAGCCCAGTTACGTAAAGCATGTACAATAGTGGAGAGAGCGGGCACCCCTGGTGTAAGCCTCTTGTCACCAGCACTTCCTCAAAGTTAGCCTTACCTAAGTTTGTCCTAACCGTGTTGCCACTGTATAGGCGGTGGATGTGGGTGACCCACTCTGGTCGCATGTCAAGATGTTGTAGTCGACATATCAACTGGGCATGTGGCACACTATTGTAGGCCTTGGCGATGCCCAGAAAACAGCATATTAGGGTCCTCTGCTCCCTGCCAGCCACCTCAATACATTGTGTTAGCGTGAACAGATGATCATCCAACCGGCGACCTCATCGAAAACCTCCCTGAAGTTCTGTAAGCAAGCCTTCTTCCTCTGCCCATGCAGGCATGTGCTCCTTCAGAACATGTACGAAAGTTCTATATATCGTGCTGGTCACAGTCAGTAGTCTGTAGTTGCAGAGATAACACTGGTCACAACCTTTTTTTTGGAACGAGGACGACTTTGCCTTTCCTCCAGTCTCCAGGAACTTTTATTCCAGAGGCAATGTTGTTAAAAATTCTTGCCAGCTGATTCCTTGAACGTTTTCCTAGTGCTTTGAGGACGCTTGCCGGAATTTCGTCCAGTCTTTGGGCGGTGTTACTTTTTAGGTGAGTCAAAGCGCGTATAATTGACACCCTG